AGGAGCCCAAGCACTTGGGCCATCTTCCACTGCCTTCCTGGGCGACAGCAGAGAGCTGGACTGGAAGAGGAGCAACCAGGACTAGAACCTGGTGCCCATATGGGATGCCGGCACCGCAGGCGGAGGATTAACCAAGTGAGCCAAGCCGCCAGCCCCTATTTTTTTAATTTTTAAATAATTATTTAGTTGAGAGGCAGAGTAACAGAAAGGCAGAAGCGGAGAGAGGAGAGGTCTCTCCATCTGCTGGTTCACTCCCCAAATGATCGAAATGGCCAGAGCTGATCCGAAGCCAGGAGCCAGGAGCTTCTTCTGGGTCTCCCACATGGGTGCAGGGGGCCAAGCACTTGGGCCATCCTCCACTGCTTCCCCAGGCCATTAGCAGGGAGCTGGATCAGAAGAGGAGCAGCTGGGACACGAACCAGTGCCCATACGGGATGCTGCAGATGGAGGCTTAGCCTACTATGCCACAGTGCCAGCCCCGTCTCTTCCTCTTCGTACATGGAAACATTCCTGGCAGATCAGCACCCCACCCATATGACCTCATGTAACCTCACTTACCTCCCTAAAGACCCCATCTCCAAATTTAGCCACAGGGGGTTGCGGGCTCCACCATGCGGATTTGAGGGTACAGCCTTCAGCCTGTAACAGTGTATATGATGACAGAGGACAGTGCATTTGAACCAGAGGACAGAGGGATCATCCTGCCAGAATCAGGGAAGATTAAGCAGAGCAATTTTAAGTTGGGCCTTGAAGGCCATGTGACTTGGCCATGGAAGGCAGGAAATCAGGAAACGGAACAGCGAAGTGTGCTGAGGCGCAAAGGCGTGGAGTGCGTGATGAGCTCAGGTGCTGAGAGCAGGCTGGAAGAGGGGCAGAAGTGAGTCTGCTGCACTGGTCAAACAAAGGACCTTGAAGCCACATCGAGAAATTTGGAGTTGTTCCTGCACGCAAAGGCTTAGCCTACTACTATGCCACAGTGCTGGCCCCATCTCTTCTTCTTACACAGGCACAGTGGATGTCGAACACACGGTAGTGTTAACTGGATTTCCAAGGAAGGAAGCTCACTACAGGTACACGGTGGGTGGGTTGGAGAGGCAACAGGTGACAACAGGTCAGGGAGGAAGGCTGGCCCCGTGGCAGTACACAGAGTGCCCTTGTGAGTCAGGGCACGTGGGGAACTGTGACAGTTGCTCACGCTAGTGTCAGACCTTTGGACAAGAAGGGCCCAGTGGATGGTGACATTAACAATCCTGCACTTGGGACAGGGTCAGTGCGTTCTCCCAAGGGAAAACAAAGCTTTTATTCACTGTCTGTGCCTTTACCTGAAAAAGGACCCTTTTTGGGGCTGGTGCTTTGGCACAGCTGGTTAATTTGCTACCTGAGGTGCCAGCGTCCCATATGGGTGCAGGATTGAGTCCCAGCTGTTCCATTCCCAGTCCAACTCCCCGCCAATGCGCCTGGGAAGCCAAAAGATGGACCAGGTGCTTAGGCCCCTGCACCAACATGGGAGACCCAGATGAAGCTCCTGGCTCCTGGCTTCAGCCTGGCCCAATCTTGGCCGGCAAATGCAGCCTTTTAGGGGAGTGAACTAGAAGATCTCTCTGTCTCTCCTTCCTTCTCTGTAACTCTACCTTTAAATAAATAAATAAATCTTTTTTTTTTTTTTTTGACAGGCAGAGTTAGTGAGAGAGAGAGAGAGAGAGAGAAAGGTCTTCCTTCTGTTGGTTCACCCTCCAAATGGCCGCTGCGGCCAGCGCTGCGCCAATCCGAAGCCAGGAGCCAGGTGCTTCCTCCTGGTCTCCCATGCGGGTGCAGGGCCCAAGCCCTTGGGCCATCTTCCACTGCCTTCCTGGGCACAGCAGAGAGCTGGACTGGAAGAAGAGCAACCGGGACAGAACCAGTGCCCCAACTAGAACCCAGGGTGCCGGCACCGCAGGCGGAGGATTAGCCTAATGAGCTGCGGCGCCGGCCAATAAATAAATCTTTTAAAAACGAAAGAAAAAGGGCAGGTGCTGTGGCATAGCGGGTAAAGCTGCCGCCTGCAGTGCTGGCATCCCATATGGGCGCCGGTTTGAGACCTGGTTGCTCCACTTCCAATCCAACTCTCTGCTATGGCCTGGGAGAGCAGTGGAAGATGGCCCAAGTCCTTGGGCCCCTGTACCCAACTGGGAGACCCAGAAGAAGCTCCTGGTTCCTAGCTTCGGATTGGCGTAGCTCCAGCTGTTGTGGCCATCTGGGGAGTGAACCAGCAGATGGAAGATCTCTCTCTCTCTGCCTCTCCTCTCTCTGTGTAATTGTGACTTTCAAGTAAAATAAATATATCTTTAAAAAAAAGAAAAAAAGGATCCTTTTACAACTACAAGAACCCATAGGAGTCAACAGAAATTGAAAATGTGGTTGCTCCGAAGGTGGGGGTGTCAAGTTGGCCTGGCTGGAGGGAGATGTGCCTTTTACCCTTGCATTTGTGCTTGGGGGCCCTCTGTGTTCTCTGCTGTGTACATTTTTAAAAAATTAATTTTATTTATTTAAAACCGAGAAACAGAGGGAAAGAGAGACCTCCCATTTGCTAGTTTACTCCCCAAAATCCCAGAGCAGCCATGATTGGGCCAGAGAAAATCAGGGGCCAGGAACTCAATCCAGGTCTCCCACTACCTGCTGCCACCCAGAGTATGCATCAGCAGGAATCTGGAATTGGGAGCAGAGCCAGAACCCAGGCACTCTGACATGAGGTGTGGGTGTCCCAGTACTGCCTTCTATGGGCTGTCACCGCCAGCCTGCTTTGTATTAAAGTTTCACTCCAATGTGCACTACTGGAGGCTTTGCCAGGGCACTTTCCCTCCAAATCCTCCCTCCTTCCTGGTCTGACATCATTAACAAGACCCTGGAGCCATGAGCTTCCCCCCAAGACTGGCCATCCCTGGTTCTGCTGGGATCTACCAGCCCTATCCCACCCACATCCACCCAGAAGGAAGCCTGGGCATTTAAATCTGGACACGAGCCTCTGGGATCTCATCTACCCTGAGCCTCCACTTCATCGCAATATTTGTGCCTGACAGCGTCTTCCTCTAAACCATTCTAGCTCCAGAGTAGGCTCCTTTGCAGTGAAAAACTACCCAAGTCCATCTATTTCACTTTCTAGCTTTTGCCTCTGTTCATTTACAGCGTCCTGTCCTGCGTCATTCACACATGGGTAACAAGCACCTCCAGGATTGGAAACGCCACACTGCACTCAGGTGGTCCCTGCACACTTGACACGTGAACCCCTCCGCACACAGGATGGAGCAGCCCAGTTCTTGATCCTCTCGGCTTTTCCTCCATGGCCATGGCGCCCGTGCAGATTCCAGGAGCTGATGGGGGGGTGGGGTCCACCGAGCCTCCTCCAGCTGAACTTGTCAGCAAGAGAGAAGTTTCAGTGTGCGAAGCCTGAGTTTGGGGGTGTTTGTTCCACAGCGTAAGCCTGGCCTGCACTGACATAGCACACGTGACAGCCTTGTCCTCCAAGCAGGGATTGGGGGTGGGTGTATCTTAGTCCTGACCCTCATTCGTCTTGCTTCCTGACTGCATGTTGCATGGCAAGGGAAAGAGGGGTCGGGGGGGGCACGGAGCAATGAACATGGCAACCGCCTCTCTTCCCCATGTCGTCTATGGTGCTGGCTGCAGGGCAGGAGCTGCGGGTGCCACTGGGAACCATACCCTTGAGAGCCTGACCAACTTCGACAGCAGGAACGGTGCCCGGGTGCCTGTGGGCCTGACAGCAAAGGGCTCGATCTGCAGCAGGCTCCCCAGTCCCACCTCCCGCTCTGGATACCTACAACTGCAGGAACTCGGAAGCTGATTGGACGCACACGGCTGTTCCCGGCACACCTGCCCCCCCCCCCCCATTCAGTTCCGCTGGGAGGGCTGTATGTGTGTGTGTATGTGTGTGTGTATGTGGGGGGAGGGGGGATCAGGTGCGATTCCTAGAGGGAGACCACCTGAACGCAATCTCTCTCAAGTGCTCATGGGCTCTTTTTTCCATTAACCGGGCCATGAATTCCTCTAATGTGCTGCCGAATTACTCTCCAGGTGCTCGTTAAAGCTAATCAGCAGAGTAAATCATACAGAAAGAGGAGAAAACAGATCAGCAAAGATTTTTTTTTTTTTAATGAAGCTGTTGGGCGCATTGTTATAATTAAGTTGTTCCCCACTCTTCAAACAGGCACGTTAGCTCTAGTTCAGCTAACAACTGCACACTTGAAATGATTCAGGACGGATTTCTGAGAAAGCGCGATGCGGACAGGCGCGCCAGCGACTTTGCTCCCTGGCGTGCGGCAGACGTAACGAACACTTCCCTCAGCATCACTCAAACAGCTCTCGCTCCTGCAGTTTCCCCAAAGCTGGGAGCACAATACACATGCTGCACAAAGCGCTGGAGGGAGTGGAACCGGGGGCCTGTGCACGGAAGGTGGGCTTTGCTGGGGGCAAAGGGTGCTTCCGACCTGGAGGCGCCAGGGGCTGCGTGGGAGAGGGAGTGACTCAGCTCCTCTTCCGTTTGCATCAGGGCAGGACACACACTTGGCCTGCGGGCTGCTGGCTGACCCTGCCACAGGCAACTGGCGTGGCCCGCCACCACCTCGGCCTGGAGAGCCTGGACCCTGTGTGAGGTTTGTCCCAGGCAGCGGCTGCTTGCCGTGGGTGGGCTGATGGCCCTGGTGCCTGTACCCCTGCCTCCAGGAACGCACCCAAACTGGATAGAAAGCCACGTCGTCACTCCAAGGCTTACCCTTTACCTCAAGAACCCCTATTTTTTTTTTTTTTTTTTTTTTTTTGTGGGGAGGAGCAATTCTTATTTCCCTCAAATCTGAGCATTACTGCCCAATCGATATGGCGTAACTCGTTAAAGTGTAGGCGAGCGGAAACTCTGGAGTCCTCGCAAATGAAGCTATCTCTTTAAATAGGTGGATCCGCCTACCTTCCCAGGATGCACCTGGGCCAGGGCGCATGCTCAGACTCCACTCACTTCCTGATAAAATGCGGTGCCCGCGGGTAGAGTGCTTTCCACAGCGTTAGGCTTTTTGCAGGAGTCGTGCTCTGTCCGTCGCAGGTACTGCTCTCCTTTTCTCTTTCCAACTCGGGCCAGGTGGCCTCTCCTGCTCTTTCTTCGAGACACATTCTCTCATTTAAGGGCGGCCTCTGCCCCCTCACGATGGGTGTTTGTGTGTGGCGGCCCATTCTTTCGCTTTAAGCCCATGTGTGACTTTGCTGAAGTTTGTTTTCTTTTTTAAAAAAGATTTATTCATTTATTAGAAAGGCAGAGGCAAAGAGAGAGAGGTAGGTCTTCCATCTGCTGGTTCATTCCCCAAATGGCTGCAGTGGCTGGAGCTGGGCCCATCCGGAGCCAGGAGCTTCTTCCGGGTCTCCCACGTGCGTGCAGGGCCCCAAGCACTTGGGCTAACTTCAGCTGCTTTCCCAGGCCATAGCAGAGAGCTGGATCGGAAGTGGAGCCCATATGAGATGCCGGCTCTGCAGGATGCGTCTTCACCAGCTACCACACAGCACCAGCCCCCCCCCCCCTTTTCTTTTAAAGATTTATTTATTTACTTGAAAGGCAGACTTGATCTTCTATATGCCGGTTCACTCCCAGACAGCTGCAAAGGCGGCAGCTGGCCCAGTTGGAACCAGGAGCTTCTTCCCGGTTGCCCGCATCCCAAGCACTTGAGCCATCGCAGGAGCTGGATTGGAAGTGGAGGAGCCGGCCCCTTGCAGTGTGTTTCTGGTAGACAGCATGGAGATGAGTCTGTCCTCTGTGAGAGAGAACTTGGATTGGAAATGCATGTATTCATGGCCAGCATCGCAGTGACACCACAATGCCGGCGACATTAAAGTTAAACAAAGGTCATGTTAACATGTTTTTTGCCTGTCACCCAAACACGACATATGTAACATGTAATGATTTCAGAAACTATACTGTATTGGGGCCGGCGCTGTGGTGCAGCGGGTTAATGCCCTGGCCTGAAGCGCTGGCATCCCATATGGGCGCCGGTTCTAGTCCCAGCTGCTCCACTTCAGATCCAGCTCTCTGCTGTGGCCTGGGAAAGCAGTAGAAGATGGCCCAAGTCCTCGGGCTCCCGCACCTGCGTGGGAGACCTAGAAGAAGTTTCTGGCTCCTGGTTTCAGATTGGTGCAGCTCCAGCCATTGCGGTCATCTGGGGAGTGAACCATCGGATGGAAGACCTCTTTCTCTCTGCCCCTCCTCTCTGCAACTCTTTCAAATAAATAAATAATCTTAAAAAAAAAAAAAAACTATACTGTGGTCTTACACTAAACCTTCAAGCACTCACAAGTGCCTCTCCGATCACACTGGCCTCATCCTGGGAGTTTAGCCCAGGGGCCAGACCCACCCACTGGCCTGCGCAGGTGTCTCTTGGGTGTCTGGGCCGTGTTGTCCAGACACAAAAGCAAGCCCAGGTTGCTCTTGCTGGTACCCCAGGGAGAATTTCTGGGTGGTGGCAGGGATGTGCCCAATGGTGGTTGAGCTCCCTCTACTACAAAAGGCTCCAGAAAATGATTAGATGAGGACTAGACTGGAATAGAGGCCTGTGGGACCACCGCCCAAGCACCACAGGCAAGAGACTCCAGCCTGGGGAGCCAGACCCTCTCTTGTCTTCAGCTGGTTCCTGGGGCCAGGATCAAGAATAGCACCTGCTTTTTTTTTTTTTTTTAATTTTATTTTTTGACAGGCAGAGTTAGAGAGAGACAGAGAGAAAGGTCTTCCTTCCGTTGGTTCACTCCCCAAATGGCTGCTATGGCCAGCACGCTGCGCCGATCCGAAGCCAGAAGCCAGGTGCTTCCCCCTGGTCTCCCATGCAGGTGCAGGGCCCAAGCACTTGGGCCATCCTCCACTGCCTTCCCAGGCCACAGCAGAGAGCTGGACTGGAAGAGGAGTAACCGGGACAGAATCCAGCACCCAAGCTGGGACTAGAACCTGGGGGTATTGGTGCCGCAGGTGGAGGATTAGCCTAGTGAGCCACGGCGCCGGCCATGCACCTGCTTAATTTAGGTGGCATCTACTCCCCTCCCACATCCCTGTAGCCTCTGTTCCTGTGGGTATCTGAAACTTAGGGCTAAGCCTGATGTCCCCTGTCTTAACACTCCAACCCTGGGCCCAGGTGACGTTAGCACCTTTCTTGTCCTTTACTGTACTTCTGATCTGTCTGCCTCTTTTCACTGTAGTAAAAAAAATACATAACATTTACTGTCTCTACCATTTTAAAGTGGCATTACGGGCACTCACATTGTCGTCCACTATCCATCACAAGAAGATTTTTCATCGTTTCAAAGTTGAACTGTGTCTGCATTACATGATAACTTAATCCTGCCATCCCAGCATCTGGCACTGACCACTCTACTTTCTGAATTCCACTCCTCTTCTAGCTCATGTAGGTGGAGTTACAGAGCATTTCTCCTCAAGGTCGCTCTGCATCATCAGAATTCCCTTCCTTTTTAAGGCTGAATAATATCCACTGCATGGACAGGCCACGTGTTGCTCCTCCATTAATGGACACTTGGGTTGCTTACACTTTTTAGCTATTATGAATAATGTCGCTACGAACACAAGTGTGCAAATATCATTCTTTGCGATCTTGTTTTCATTTCCTTTGGGGATCTACCCTAGAAGAGCGATTGCTGGATCATATAATAGTTCTGTTTTTAATTTTTGAGGAACCTCCATACTCTTTTCCACAGTGGGTGAACCATTTTATATTCCCACCAGCCCTGAACAAGGGATCCAGTTTCTTCACATCTTCGCCAACACGTGACATATTCTGCTTCTTTATTTTTTTGTGCTGCCCACCCCCTTCTCTCCATGGAGGTATCTGGCACAGGTGTAGGCCCTGTCTCCAAGAGGAAGTGATTGGGCCTCAGACTTGCAGAGCACAAGTATTTGGTGTCGTGATACCACTTGGAACTGGTGTGGGGACCCAGGCTCTTTGTTTCCAGGGTCGTGGAGCTGGCCAAGCGCAGAGGCTCACGCCTAGCAGACCGTCTCCTCAGCGGCTCGAGGACAGTGGTCCGTCCTTGGTGCTCTAGGGACCTGTGCTGCTTCCTGCCGTGACTGCCCTTTGAGCTTCATCGTCCCCAGCTTCTGAGTTGTGGATAGGAACAGAGCACAGGAGGGTGTGCCAGTGTCCTAATGGGTGACGCAAGAGTGCTGCACATCCCAGCTGCTCAGTTCCCAGCTGAGAACTGGTACACGGCCTTGCCTAGGTGCATGGACTAATCCTGAGGAAGGGCTCTTTCTGCTCCCTCTGGAGAACTTGACCTTGCTCTGCTCTTTCAGGTTGAGGCTCGTGGCCTGTTTCATGGCTCGGGCAGTGGAGCTGCTTCTCAGCCAGCACAACCTGCGTCTATGGCAGGGCTCAGAGTCAGGCGGCTGCTTCCCCTTGGCCCACAGAAAGGATCGCAAGGCTGGAAGTGTTGAGTGAGCCACAGCAGCCCACATCTGCAAGGATGAGTCCTTCCTACTTAGCCCCAGGAAGCCAAATGGTGCACAGTGCACAGAGACCCCACTCTCACCAGGAGGCCAAGACCTAAGCTGTGACGTAGTTGGACAATGTATGACCTTAGCAAGTCACTGGAGCTCTCTCAAAAATGGGAAAATAGGGCCTAGCAGGTAGGTCTTTGGTTCATTTTCATTTATGTTTTACTTGATAGGTAAAGGTGTGTGCGTGTGTGTGTGTGTGTGTGTGTGAGAGAGAGAGAGAGAGAGAGAGAGAGAGATCTTCATCTACCACTTCTGAAATGCCAGCCAGGGCTGAGCCAGGCCAAAACCAGAAGCCTGGAACTCAATCTGGGTCTCCTATGGGGGTGGCAGGGACTCAAGTACTTGAGCTATTCCCTGCTGCCTCTCTGGATACACAGTAGCAGGAAGCTGGATCAGAGGCAGAACCAAGAGTAGGAATGCAGGTATCCTGAGCAGACCTCCTTCCCTTTGGGGTCTTTTTTTTTTATTATTATTATTATTTGAAAGAGTTACAGAGAGAAAAGGAGAGAAAGAGAAAGACCTCTTCCATCTGATGGTTCCCTCCTGCCATAACAGTACTGCACCACAATGCCAGCCTTTCTCTTTCAGGTCTCTTGAAAGGAATTTTGGAAATCATGTCAAAAAAACAAGGTGGATGCCTAGGAGGACCTCAGTCAACGTTCTCTCTGACCATGGTGAGTAAGCAAGGTCCCCCTGCCTAGAGCCCAGAAGGGGCTACTTGGTAGCGCTACCTCCTTACCAGGAGTGACCAGCCTCAGGCCAGGCGACTGCTCTCCTTGCCAATTTCCTTCAGCCTCACCTCTCTCTGGGGAGTATGTCAGCCCCAGCTGTATCCTCCTGAGGGGCCGCCACCTCAGATGTGCAGACTCCAGGTATCTAACACAGCCTCACATTCTCTGAGAACCACTCCAATCTGTACCCTTCAGGCCGGGCTGCTGGCCATGTTTGTGTGTTGGCCAGTGATGAAAAGTGTGACCCAAATAGAGACAAGGAAAGAGACTTGGGGGAGGGGGAGGGAGGAACAGAGAGAAGAGGTAGAGAGACAGGAGCAGGCTGAGCAGTGTTTGGCCTCTCTTCAGGGGTCTGCCCTGCATAAGACCTGGCCACACCTTCTCTGCTGGTATTATGTGATGCTCCCATGACAACACAACCCTTTCTGCTAAGCCGGTACGAGAAAGGTTTCTGTTGCCTCAGAAGAGCCCAGAGACAACGCACGTGACCTGGTAGCAGCTTCAAGTGATGTCACATTGGCGATGAGGAGCTGAGTCCCTCCAGGGTGCTAGAGGGGCAGCAATGTCCTACATCCAACACACCTGGCCTTGGCTTGCATGGCCCTTTGCTACCTGTGCTGTGCTGGCCAGGCGGCTTGGTGCTGAGCTCAGGTGGGCTCATCCAGGAATCCGCAGGTTCTCTCCTGCTAGGATGAGGGAGATGGTAGACCGAGGGGTGGGGACAGCCCCGACCCACACATAATAAGTTTGTGCCATCCACCAGGGCCCCAAATTACTCATAGTGATCAGAATGTCCTCTCCCACTTGGCTTGGCAAGTCTGTGCCATATGAGGAACCTCTGAGACACTCATTTTTGAGCTGGGTGTCCACAGCTGTGCCACAGGATAGGAGATAAATCAGGGATACCAAGCAAATCACAGCCCTGTCAGGCAACCTATCATAGGGCGTCCCTCAGACCATGGCTCCCAGATGATTTAGTCTCAAGCATAAAGTAAGACCCACAAGAGGGGTCTTGAAAAAGTTCATGGAAAATATATATTGTGAAAAAACCGTGCATGATTTCAAATGTCTTTTGCACCAAAAATATTTTACTTACATTTTTCTCTTTTTTGTGGGGAAAAATTTATTTATTTTACTTGGCAGAGGTCTTTCATCTGCTGGATCTCCCCAGATGGCTAGAATGACCAGAGCTGGGCGAGGCTGAAGCCAGGTGCCCAGAGCTTCTTCCAGGTCTCCCATGTAGGTGCAGGGACCCAAGCACTTGGTCCATCTTCCACTGCTTTCCCAGGTGCATTAGCAGGAAGCTGGATGGGAAGTAGAGCAGCTGTGGGCGAAGGCCTAATCTACTACACCACAGCACCAGCCCCTTTAGTGACACTTTTTTCACAAACTTTTGGAAGTGCCTTCATGTGCCCTTCTGGCTCAGATTACAGCAGGAACAGAGGGGTGCCCAGGTCACTTTGCTGCTGGGGGTCCAGTGGCTCCTAAAGTGGTGGTTGAGGAAATCACTGTTGCCATGTGCTTCCATAATAGACCTGGGCCCTGTCCCCCACCATAGACCCCTCCCCCATTGTAGACTTGGGCCCTGTCCCCCCATAGACCCCTCCCCCATTGTAGACCTGGGCCCTGTCCCCCCATAGACCCCTCCCCCATTGTAGACCTGGTATCTGTCCCCTGTACACCCTCCCACTGTAGATCTTAGAGTCTGCCCATAGCCAGAGGTGGGGAACATCTGGCCCATAGGCCACAAATCATTTGATCTGGTCCTGCCAAGGCAACCGTGGGTGGGACTGGAAATCCAATACATCTACAGCAGGCTGATTTTTAAGTTGATATTTTTGTGTGTTCCACAGATGATGTTATAAATATCCAAATGGCCCTTGGCAGAAATAAAGGTTCCCCGCCCCTGCTAGACCCTGCCATTGTAGACCTGGGAACCTGTGCCCCATAGACCTCCCATAGTAGATCTCGGCCTCATCCCCATATACCCTTCCATTGAAGACCTGGCCTCTGGCCCCCGTATACTCTCCCATTGGAGGCCTGAGCCCCGTGCCCTTAGACCCTCCCATAGCTGTTAGGTCTGACCCACTCTTGAAGGGGATCTATGAGCACAGGGGCCTGTGTGGGAGGCCCTGCTCTAGTTATATGTGCCGCATCCCTCCAGGATTTGCCTGCTGGGAATTTGGGCTTCTGTAAAGTCTCGTTCAACATTGGAAATTCTGATTCACTGGCAGTAAGCCTCAGTGAGATTTCTAAAAATGGCACTTCCGAGCTGACTCAGTGGTTGATTAAGGCATTTGGTTACGTTCATCCTCACTGAGCTGGAAGGAATGACTCATCCCTCCTGCCCCTGCACTGGGACAGGGAAAAGTCCTTTGACACCGAGTCTGGGGACCCATGCCATGGTGGGCTGTACCCACCCAGGGAGCCCTGGAGAGAGCACATCTGACAGTAGACTGAACCATCCCTGTCCCAGCACAAGGGATGGATTTGCTCACTTATCCCTAGGTGAGAACAGATGTCAGCATGTTCTGAGCCTTTGGGCCAGGCCTCAGCAAGAGACTGATCCACCAAGAGCTAGGAAGCACACTAGCCCTTACCTGCCCCTCGCTGAGAGAGGTTGTCTTTCAGAGACTGATGCCATTTAGGGAACACCACCTTAGCAAACTGTCAGGCCACAGTCCTCGGCTCAGCACTTAATATTGATGGGGTTTCTCGGATGTCAAGTCCACTCTCCTTTAGGCTTTCATTTCCTCCAGGACTGCATCCAGACCACAGAGCCAGGAGTCTTCCAAGAAAATCTAAGATGAAGACCCTCCCACCCCTGAGCCTCAGCCCACAGATCAATCCTAGGTCAATACTTCAGCTCCCAAAGCTTCCCAAGATAACTGCATGTCTCCCTGCTCCAGTCATTGGCCCTACCCACTGGCCAGTCCAGTGACTAGCCTGGGGATCCAGGGGAGGATTTCAAGTAGCTTACTTGTTCTCAGGTGCCTACATGCAGCATGACTGAGTTTGGAATTCTGCCACAAGAAAAGCTGAGACTGGCGTCAGATTGCAGATTGGTTGGAAGGTGGTCTCAGAAACAGCCAGTGGAAGAGGTAGGGGAGGGACAAGTGCCTTGCCCAACTGTTTGACAGTATGTGCAGCTACTACTGCAAGCCTACAGGGACCTCCTTGGGACTATGAGGAATATTATCCCTCAGTTGTCTCCTGAGAGAGGAAGCTGGAGTATTTGTCCTCCAACCCCACCTAAGGGAACCCACTCCCAAGGGAGCCTCCCAGCACCCTTTTGTGGCCAGGAAAGCTTCCAGGCCAGAGAGAGAGAGAGAGAGAGAGATATGCTAGGCCAGGAGACGGATGGAAAAAAGCATCTGGTTGGCATTTTCTAGGCAGCTAGACAGTCTTCACTTGTCCCTTCCCCATCCTGGCCACAAGAAGAGGGTGTGGCTACAAACAACCCCCTCACCACACATGAACCTGGCATTGGACTTAAGCAATGCCAGGAACCTATTGCTACAAGATCAAGAGAGCTCGAAGTTGCTAGAAAGAAACCCATGGAATGAAGGGTTTCCTGCTGAAATATTCCTGTGTCAGAGACTAGCTTGTGCTTGGGTGTGAGCAGCACCGCTCTCGGGAGCGTGCAATATTCACATGCTGCAAACTGCCTATGCAGAATGGGAAAGACGCTCCTGGCTTCTGACCTCACTGCAGCGACGGGTGGGTGGACAGAACCAGCTCTGAGTGCATCCCTGGCTGTCTGCCAGACCTTGAAAAACAGCTTAGATGGCTTAGATTGGTTGGACTGAGCCTATCTTATAAATAATCTAAGAGCTGTGAACTGCCTCCCCTGAGGCCAGGGCTGCAATGAGCAGGGCGCCCCGGGGAAGCTCAGCTGAGTTTGTTTGTTTGCTTTGATTTCTCAGAGAATAAAATGAGCCTTTCAGGCTTCAGGGAAACCTGGTAGGGTCTCCTGTGTGGTCTCTGGAATTTACCACGGCTGTCTCAGAATTAAATTGGAGGCAGAAAAGCTGAAGGCAGGGCAGGGGTTCTCGAACATGACTTGTCATTAAAATCGCTGGAGATGGCATTGCAGCACTGGCTCCTAGGCTGCTTCCAGCCAGCCCAACTCTGCATGTGATCAGCCTGGGCCACCCGGGCTGGGGTCTGACAGACCATGCTCTGAGAAGCAAAGCATGAATGACAGCCTTTGAAATAGAGGAGCTGTGCAAAGAAGTAGAAGATAAAAAAAGAACAGGGGCATCATCTGGTCATGCAGGGCCTCTGCTGAGCTGTCAGGGTCAAAGCCAGGTTCTTTTCCTGTGTCTCCTTGGTGGCGGCAAAGGCTGTCAAGAGCTGATGAACAGGTTAACTTAGAGACTGCTAACCTTTCCCAGGGTTAACCAGAAAGGCCTCCATACTGACTAGAATGATTACTTGAGGTGGAAAGGGAACTGAGGCCAGGACCACTCCTCTAGACCTGGATAGGGAGGCCCGGGCTGGAGCACAGAAGCTCACAAGGGCATCCATACAGAGCAGCATCTGCACTCACTTCCCGGGACCCCAGCCAGGCAGCTGGCCTTCCCGCTTGCTCTCTTCTGGTTGTTGTTTTTTTTTTTTTTTTTTCAATTTTCTCCCTAGCTTCTCTTCCTCTGAGACCCATGGTTCATCTGACATGTATTGGGAGACTTCCCTGTGCCAGGCAGATGCATGGAGGCTCACTGAGCCTTCAGGAGGGGCCTGCACAATCAGCACTCGCCAGGTGCAGTTGCAGGTATGTAGTCTTCTTGCCCTGCTGCACGATGCTTCAGGAATTCTTACCCAGCTCCCCGTCTGCAAACCCAGCATGCCTTCACCCTCAGCAGCGACCGACCCTTACATCACGTAACGGGGTTTCAGGTCCGGCATGAGGGACACAGTGGGAAGCCGGTCAGATGACTTGC